CCTAAAAATGATCTTACAAAAGTGAACCAACCAAATATTTTGAGCAAATGTAATCGTATTTATTTCCAAAAGCTAGTTTTATTTTCGTCTTTAAAACGTTCTTAACTTTCTATATAGTTGCCAATCAAAAGAAATAGAAAACTTTTTTCTATTTGAAGCCAAAACTCAATTATTCATGAAAATGAACATCTATATTACGAAATTATTAAACAAACTATTTAGTTCTCATTCGTATGATAAATTTTATTTTTTTTCCAAAAGTTGGAAATTTGGCTCGTTCAAGACACAACAAAAGTTCATACATTTACACCAGCAAACGTAAAAATGAAAAACTATTACCAATTATTTGAATTTTTCTCAGTGATTATATATAATCGTTTTCAAAGTATTTCAATATCTAACAGGTATAAGTTATAGGTTTCAAAAAAAAAATAGGTATAAGTTATAACAACCGACCAAGAACAACCAACTATTAATTACGTGAATGCATGTGGATGTATACTTAATTATATCACCAAAAGATCTTTCGTTTGGTATAATGATTAATTATACATGACTTTATAATATACTGTTATACAATTTTTGATACATATATACGTGAGGGATAAAATATAGTTAGTTTTAAGCGTTTTAAAACGTGCAAACAAATATGCATATATTTTTTTTAAGATGGTGTTTATTTATCAATTTGTAAATGCTATTTGAACAATTATAGATATATGTTTAAATGTTGTGTTTTTTTTAATAAAGGTTTAAATGTTGTGCTTCTTGTAGATTATGATATGTTGAACAATCAAGTTATAAATCTTTTTTTTTTTGAAAAAATAAAGTTATAAATCTTTAGTTATAGAACAAATTGTATACACTGCATGCTTGACGGACGAAACGCAACTGACGTCAGCGTATATATTCAACATCTGAAATTTTCAAATCAAAACTATATCATATATAATTGTATATAGATCTTGATTTTCAACAAGAAGTGACAATTGATCCCATACCCGACCAAAACAAGCAGAAAAACAGAGAAGCAATGTTGCTTCAACTTGCAAGAAACTATAGAACAAACTCTATGTATAGTATTTGATTCAATATATACAAACAAAACAAAAGTCCATTTTAACATCTAATTTATGTAGAAAAAGAAGAAAAAAACCATGAAAATTTATTTGGTGGGCCAAAGAAATCTTAAGGAATAGAGATGGGATTTTTGTCCAACCAAAGCAAATCTAATGACTTAATACTTTTGGGTTGGACCCACAAGAAGATTTGGTGTCTCACTTTTCTCTTCTTGTTCTCTCTATATAAACACAATCACACACTATGCTCTAAAGTCTTCTTCTCTTCTCTTCTCTTTTTCATTTGCTTTCAAGTCTCAAAAACTCTTTTTTTTTTTCTAAATGAGACAAAAGGGTCATAGACGCGGAGGAGCAGTGTCGCCTTGTGCCGCGTGTAAGCTTCTCCGGCGAAAATGTGTGAAAGATTGTGTCTTTGCTCCATATTTTCCGGCAAAAGAGCCTTACAAGTTTGCAATTGTCCACAAGATTTTTGGTGCTAGTAATGTCAATAAAATGTTGCAGGTGAAAATTCACTCCTCTCTTCGTTTTTTTTAGCCACTTTTTGTTATTTTTTAAAGTCGTCGCTTCCATGGTTATTTTATGAATGAAAAATTATATAAACAGGCCAATACTTTTAAATTATGGTTTTTTTCTTCTTGTGTTGGAAGCCATAAGTTGAATCAAGAAAGAATTTACGTTCTAGCTTTTCATTCTTCAAATTAACGTAAAATTACTAGGATTTTTATTCATGTATATGTTTTCGATCTTGTCAATGTGATATATGTTTTTTTACTAAATAATTTTATTATTACTATTGGAAAGTATCGAAACCGCGTGTAAGAACAGTGTATGGAGTCACTTTCTAGTTTCAATCAAAAGTCTATATGAGGTCCGATTGGTGACTCCGTTTGAAACGAACGGTTGAAAGTTTTTTATCAGTTGAACAGATTTGCAACAAAGTGGTTAGAATCAATGGTTGGAGAAAAAGATTAAATAGCATAGAACAATTTTAATATAAGCTTGATTTGTAGCATTGTAGCGGTTGAATAGTAGAAGTAGATAAAATTATGTAATAATTTTTTTAAAAAAATTTTAAAATATAATGCACCCTGACTTATGTGTCTAGTGCATAAATGTTTACACAAAATTTACCAATAAAAAAGAAACACTTCAAATTATATATTGTTCAAAGTAT